ATGTAGATAATAATTTAGCTTTTTGAAGTGTTTATTTCCTACAAAAAGGGACTTGTTATGAAGTAATTGTTCATGTGATTCTCTGTATGTTGTCATAAAGGAAGTTCTCTTTAAATAATTAACTAACTTTAATAATTCATTCTTTTCTGTACCACTATTTAAAAACACTTGCGATACAACTTTTTAAGGTCACACAACCTACTTTGCTGTAACTACAAACTACACAGTGGGCTACTTTAAACCAGCAACAGATAGCTATGGTGTCACATTTATTTCAAAATGCCCTCGAGCAAAATACACATTCTCCCATGTATAGGGTGACCAAACGTCCGTATTTCACGTCCTGTCCCAGGCGTCCCGGGTTTTCTTTAGAAAGTGAGGAAATGTCCTGATTTCACTGCGCACGACGCTCCGTGTGACGTAATCCCTGAGCCGCGTCAGTGCGGGCAGCCCTGTTCTTAATCAGACTCTTGCTCTGTTCGGAAACCTGGGCTGCATCCTCCAAGGACGCGGTCTACCTAGACTGGATCCTTCGAAGTCCTTGAAAATAAGGACACCGGAAGAGTTTTTGCTGTAAATTCGAACAGGTCTACCCGTCGGCGGGTTTTACCGCCGTATGCTCTGTTGCTTAGCAACCGTGAAAGTTGACACACAAAGCAGGAAAAGAATGAATAGCGAGGTTTTCAAAACTGTTTGTTTATTTTTTTATTTTTTTTTAAAGTTAAAGTGAACAAAAACTACACTCACAAGAATCCAGAGTGGAATAAATGTTCCAACCACCGGGAGCAGGAACAAATAAAATCAAATGTAGTGATATAAACCTTAGTCAGTTAAATAACCTGCTGCTGTCATTCTGCACATCTCTGATGTTGCTGCTATTTTTAAAAATCTATTACTGTAAAAATGTCCATAGCTGCATATTGGTTATTTATTCTCCAGTTTTATGTTGTTAAAACACTTTACAGAATTGTATTTTTTATATTTTAACTCTTCCCTATTATGTTATTCTTATACATTTTTCTAAGGTCCTCATTTGTGTGACCATTTTTAATAATCTTTCTGCTGCTGTAAATCTGCCCATTGTGGGACAATAAAGGGATTTTCTATTCTATTCTATAAAAGGGGTAGAGAGATATAAGTAAATCTAAACAATGTATCTACAAAATATATCTGCAAAATCTCTAATATTCATCAAGAAAAAATACTTAGTTAAGCATATTGTGCAAAACAACAATAAAAAAATTAAACTCCTATCAGATTTACAGTCTCCACACTGCAGCTATATTAGAATCTGTCCTTAAATTACAGCCAAACCCATTTACACAGTAACAGATAAAAACCTTTAGATAAACCAAACATTACCGCCACATATCTGACTCTATAACCATTAAATCGATTATTTTCATTCATTTCAGACGGAACTATTCACAGAGTTGTATTATATTGAACTGAACTTCCAATTTTCACCACTGTTCTGCACCAAGTAACATTTCCTCTGATCACGGAGCAAATCCCGATGATGAGACATTCGATTCTATCAATCAACACAAACCCCTGAAAACCTCTCCTGTTAGCCTATTCCTGTTTGGGCCTTGCAGACACGATCACACGGGAAGTAGTTTTAGGAAAGCTTTGACTGACAGCCCTTCATCCATAAGTGAAGACGACAGCTGAAGGACCGTGGTGGAGGCTTCTCCAACGTTTATGGTAAATGGAGTAAGTGGTAAGCATCAGTCAAAGGCTTCCTGACACTACTTCCCATGTGTCTCCAATAAGGATTTGATCTTAGATCCGTAGAAGATCTAAGAAATCAGGTCTTCCAGTTTTGGGCAGATGGCTCCAGATGAAAAGAGAAGCTGGGCTTTCCGGTCGACACGATTCACCGAGTCGGACGTCCCAGAGATGTTAGGAGCCCCCGTCCTGTGATAATCCAGTTCATCATGCGCACCTTCAGACAGAAAATATGGAAATCCTCGATGACCGCCGCTGTGATGAAAGAGCAAAAGTTTCGACTTACGGAGAACCTGACCAATAGTGAAAGACAGTGACGTAACAAACTTTGGCCACTTGTTGAAAAAGCCCACGAAGATGGAAAGAAGACAGCATGGCGTGGTCCAGATGTGATCATTGAAGGGAAGAGGATCATTGCTGACTCCATGAAAGATGTCTATAGTGTGACTCCCATGGGTTTGTCATCATCTCTTCACCTGTAGAGCTGAAAGTTTTGTTCTTTTTTTTTCTCTGTTAGGGTGGAAGAAATAGAAATTACATAAAATGTTTGTTGATCTCTTGTTTAGGTGTTAACTGTTAGAGACACATTTCATGCAATGCATTTCAGTTTTATTTGCTTAAAATACCTAAACTGATTACAGGCACCTAAAAAGCAAACTCGTTCACACCTCGAAGCCTTTTTACTATTAAGCCCCTTTTTGTCAGTACTTACATCATCATCTTTTTTTGTTCTTCAGACATTATGCTCTTTTATCTTAAATATTCTACATATTTACTTTACTAAAATAGATGTTTTCAAACTCTTTGAACTCTTTGAAGATAGTCTCACTTAATGTTCATGGCTTGAGAAATCATATATAAAGAAAAGTGATGTTCTTTTTTCTTCAAAAAACAAATGCTGATATTATCCTCTTACAAGAAACGTACTCCTGCGACTCAGACATTAAGTTTGGGAAAAGCCAGTGGGACTTTTGTCATGGTATACATAATTCTGCAGGCATTGCATTCCTTCTCAATAAATTTGCAGGTAACATCTTAGAAATGTACAAATCTAATAACAGTAGATGGATTATTATTTTATTCAAACTGGACAATAGCCTTTTTATAATATGTTATGTATACGGTCATAATGGAACCCCACATGCCCGTACTATGTTTGCAGAAATCATATCCAAAATAAGGGATTTACAAAGTAAAAATAAAAAGGCCCTCCTGATTATTGGTGGAGATTTTAATGATGCTCCAGATGATAGGATAGACAGAATTCCAGAGAGAGTTTTCCAAGTAGTCTCTTGCTACTGCATCGGATCAATCTAAATCTATCTGAGAGCTGCTTTTGGGCAAACGGACTAGACTGGGCCCAGATCAGCTGAAGAACTGAACCGAGGCGAAAGACCCTTCCACTTCACCGAACCAAAACAGTAACATCCATACTTTTCTCTGTTCATCTGAGGTTTAATAAGTACTCTGCTTGGGTGGACTTGGTAGAATAGATAGTTGTGTTTGTGTTTATTTGAAATACACTTTCCGATTCAACTGCAGATGGTTTTAAGAGTTTTGACTGAATGCTAATGCTTACTGACCAGACTCAACGAGCAATGTGGGTCTGAAGTCACTGCAAGATTGGACTGGCCAGCATCGTTAGCTCCAGCTACCTAATGCCGGCCACATTGTAGAGGCTGCTAGGTCCATTCTCTTTCAGCTTCATCACAGTTTAATGCATTCCTGAGTCACTTTTTACCATCAAACTGAATAAGACCGCACAGTTTTTACTGCATTTAACATCTCTGCAACAGGGTGTTTTTTAATGTGTCTGCTGCTGTTTTAAATGACACTTTCAATGCATTGAACCTTAAAACCTGAACATTCCACAGAGACTTTTGAGCAGACTTAAACTTAAACCCTCTCTTCAGGGTACTATTGTATTTTAACCCACAGTCTTTTGTGTTTATTTTAAACAGTAAAATGATTTTTTACTCAAGCCTGATTCCCTCTTCTTTCAGTAGCATCTGACTGAAAAGAGACAGATTTATTTGGTTGTTGATGAATAACTCTGCTGATAGCCATAGTCAAAATTACTAAATGGTTAAAAGACAACTGAAATTTTAACAGTCAAATTTAGGAGTTCGACATCTTATGGAAGAGACTAAGAACCCTGGTCAGTACGCAAATTACAGCTACAATCATTCAAATAATAATAATTGTTTTACCCTTGATTTGAATTACCTATTAATTAACTATAACTTCCAGTTCTAGTTATTTAATATATTCATAATATTCTGGTAAACTCGCACAACAGAATTGAAGTCAGTGAACAACTTGTTAATTTTGTTTTGACATTTGCTTGGAGAATCATCAGCACAACGTGATCATAGGACTTTATGGTTCTGGTTTAAATGTTTAGATGCAGAAATCTTCTACCAACACCTGATGGCTGCTGAAGAGGAGCCCTCCAAGTCAATATAAATACCTTAAAATGTTCCAACAAATAAACCACTTTTGAGAACAATACCAGCTTCCTAACATTCTTTGCTCAAACGTTTAAGGGGCAATTTAAAAATCCTGATATGAAAAAAAGCCAGAATAATTATATCATAACAAACATGATGGTATAAACCTGGACACAAGTTTGCAAATAACATTCAAATATGAGCAACAGCCAATTTATCTCCTGTGCAAAATAACACTTCATGTTATATCTGGTCTAATGAGCATGTTGACAGTCTCGTTAGAAAATGAAATTTCTTTTTTACTCTTTCAAGGTTTGTTTGAATTTTTTTTTTACTTAGCTTAATGCACACAAAAATAGAACAGGTGGATTCCTGCCAAAGCAGTGAAACGTGTATGGGCGGGAACTGTAACATGACACCACTTCCACATCATAACCCATCCCTTTAGAAGTTTGGCCTGTTCTGGAAATCTCAGCCAGCAGTGGACTTTACCTAAGATAGAAGGCCTGCACTTCAAACAGATAATCACATGCATTTATCCCTTATTTGCATTTTTCTATGATGTCTGATGGGGCTCGAAATGTAGATATGTGTGAACAAGAGTCAAAACTGCTGTAAAAAAAGGAAGGGAGCCAAACATTTGTGTCACAAAAACTTCTTTAAATTGGGATAAATATCTAGCTTTTTAAAACAATGAATGTAAGAAACTATATGCACTCAGTTGTATGCTCCTAATTGATTAAATCTCTGAAAGGAATGATACTTTGTTTTTAAATTAATGAAGGTTATTATCAAGTCATTATCAGTGGTTTTATAAGTATTTGTTTACCGTTGCAATATAAATATTCAACAAACCAATCCAGGAAATGTCTCTCCAGACGGAGCGATTACGGGATTGTGCTGGGTGTGTCAAGGTATCTATGCTAAGAGAGGAGGAGAAAAGTTGATGAAAGTGAAACAAATTCTTTAGTAAGGATTGTTGACAAAACAGGAACAAGCACAGACAGTGCTCTCTTGGTTAAAAGGGTTAAAAATGGCTGAATCTTCCCATTCCCTTTATTTTGAGGCTAGGCCTCTAACAGACAGAGAGAAGGAAAGGGTCAGGAGATACTTTCAGAAAAGAAGAGACTCTGGGGGAGGTGATTGTGGAGTTATTGAAACGGTCGGAGATAACATCTATAAAGTCAGCTTTAATGAAAAAGAAGGTATGTGCTTTAAAGAATTTACAGCTCTAAAATAGAAAAGCGGTAAACTTATGATATTTTTCATGTTCAAGATCAGGAAAGAGTTTTACAGAGAAAAACTCACAAAATTATCTTCCCTGGTGGAGATCTACATTTGACCGTGAATCCTAGCAGTTCACCACAGACTCTGGATAAGCCATCGACATCCAATTTGCAGGTGAGTTTTTTTTTTTTTTTTCTTAAACTAGTATTTTGTCTAGTTAGGGCGAAACATATACCTGGTTTGTTGTTGTCAACTTTTTTTATGCTTTTTTTGTACTATATACAATGTTTTTATATTTTCTGTATTTTCATCTTCAATGGCATCTTGCTTTAACTTCTTATACTCTATATAAGATACTGGAACCAGAATTTCCCTGATGGAGTTATCCCAAGGGATAAATAAAGTTGAGTTAAAGTCTAAGTCAAATAAAACTTTTCTATTTTATTGTTTTGCTTTAGCTTTTTAATCTTTTAGACTTATTTCCCTTTCATTTTTAATGTTGATAAATTTAGGCCATCTTTAAGGTATCTTTACTTTTGATTTAATAAAAAAAATATACAGTCCTTTGCAACTACAATTCATAAATCTAATTTTATGGCATTATAATCTTAAACTTTACTAGCCTGATAAACCAGACTAAATGTGAGATTAAATGTGTAATTTAGTCTGGCCCCGATGAATCAGACACCGGAAGATTCAAACCATGTCTGTGCCTATTGGCCAACGCTCTGAACCAATGAGTGCAACTGAATGTGATGTAGTAAGCGTGACAGAAAGCTGGTGGGGAAGTGTAAACAAACAGCCTGTCGGTAAAACGGCGAATACATCCTTCTTAAAAATCGGCACCAGAGTCAGCGGTCCTTCACACATGCAAAGAGAGGGCCGTTGCAGACGAGCTGCAGTTAGCCCTGGCTGCCGTTGGCCTCGGAGGTCCGCTGGTTGCCACGGTCCTCTAAACTTCAGAAATAGTTGTTTTTAATTATGCATTAAATCGTTAAATGGACCATATAGTGCAGCTTTAAAGTATAATATTCTTTCCTCAAATTATCTCAAAACATACTTTTATTGAACAACAGCAACAGAAAAGAGAACTTTTAACTTTCAATCGAGCTCTCCATTGAAAGCTGCTGCTGCCGCAGTACAGGCTACTGTTCAATAGTTGTTGCCAACTTCCTTGTTGTGCATTCTCCAGCATTGTGCAGCTTTGTCATCCCGCCCTCAAAGCCCTGCCCTCTTTGCATCCAGAAATTCAACACACACCTCTGCGTTGTGATTGGCGCGCCAGTTCTAGGGCCTGCTATTGATCGTGGCTAGACCACTCGCAGGCAAAAATTATTTTGCCCGCTGGCGGGTGGGGCTAGTTTACTAGGCTCAAACTTTACCATATTTTGGAGGAATTTTGCATCAGACTTGTCTTACGTAGTATAGATGTTAAACGGAAAGAATTTTAGATTTGTTTCTTTTAGATTTTAATACAAACCGGGCAAGTGCTGAAAACATTGATACACACTTTCCTTATGTTAGCCTTTTGGAGACACACCTTTCATTTAATTGTATGCATAAGCGTCGTTAGACCTATTTAAGGGTGGCTTCAGTCACCCTTTCTTTGGCATTAGCCACCCTATAATTATTTTGCGATTTAAAAAAATATATATTTTTTTTCTGTATTTATTTTTTCCTCATATTTTCCCAAAACAAATGCAGTAAAGCACCGAATAAAAGCCATAAAGAAGACCAGTTAATCTGAACAATCATAGGCGTAACTTCCTTAAGGACTGGTGTGGACATGTCCCCACCAATATTTTGTACACGTATTTTTCTTTCGGTGCTGTGTATATCTGATTAAAACCCCATTCATGCCGCTCCTCAGAGAGAAAATAAAAAAAAGTTTTCTCCCCGCTGCTCACCGTCCACAAACCCCGACAAAAACTCAGAAAAAAGAATCTGTTGCCTCTCGCTTTCTCCCCATCACCCCCCTCCAACCTCATCCCATAACATTTGATATCCGCGGGTGACGGGTCGGGTTCGGTAGTCATCCTAACGGGTTCGGGCGGGTGCGGGTTGGTAAAACTCGACCCATGCAGGTCTCTAAGCTACACTACATTCAGTATCGTTGCCATAGAAACAGACAACAGCGCCAATATATCAGAATTATACTAAAACACACGCAAATAATTTCCCACATAAAAAACAGGACTTTCAGTCCATTACAGTTTTCCGTTTTTAGAGGGTTGTTTATTTTGCGTTTATTAAGTGATGGCTGTGGTATATTAGCTTTCACTGCTATAAGCTTTCGCAGCAGTGATTGATTAATCGGTCTCCGCCAAGTGACGTCAATTGTTTACCTCGGGCGCGGTACACTATGCCTTTTCCACTTAAAATGGCGTCTTAGCAACAAATGTCACGTGACTGGCGGAGACCGATTTTCCTAAATCCGCCCCTGTTTTCAGGCTTATGTTAACTGTAATGACTTATCTTGGACAGGCTGCTATGTAAACAGGCCTTTAGTCCTTCGTTTAGCTATGCTGCGGTTGTTTACACTACACCTTTTCCAACTAAAATGGCGTCTTAGCAACAAAAGTCACGTGACTGGCGGAGACCGATTTAAACACCTGCTCTACTGATGGTCTATCGGAGTTGGTGTTTAGGTTGAACATAAAGAACACCTTTGATTTGAAGCTTCTTGTAGATACTGTTTTAATCCCGGCTTCACTTAAAACTTTTTCCTGACTTTGATAGTGTTGCCATTCAGTAGCAAGCACTGCGCCCCTTTTTCTTTTATATGTCCACGTACATTTAAGATTTAGCGTGTTATGTTGACAACTCATGAGCAAGCTGCTTTTTGCAATCTAGCAGGAAGGTAAGGATAGGATCTTGCAGGTGTGACGTCACTCTGCAGGGGGTCCAAAGATAAAAGATTTAAACAATTTTGGCATTGGAATTTCAGATTTAAGGGAGTTAGAAAGTTCACTTAGTAAAAGTGCAAATAATAAATCTGATTACCGATTACTTTTAAGCTGGTTGAACATACTGCGACAGACTGGTGACCTGTCCAGGGTGATCCCACCTCTCACCCAGAACGTGGCTAGAGATATGCACCAGCACCTTCTGATCCCACTGAGGGATAAGGTTAAAGAAAATGGATGGTTGAACATAGTCCGCTCTCCCAGATTCTATCAAATCAGTATTGATACCCTCAGGGGCGGATTTAGGAAATTTGGGGCCCTAGGCAAAGACAGGCAGGGGGCCCCCTGAGAAGAAAACCCATAAAACAGACCCATTCTACAGATAGAGAAATGTTAATAGAATAGACATCCATTATTTGTTCTAGGTTTTGTCCCTCCCTTCTTGTCCCTTTTTCCTCTCCATTTATCAGCGTTCTGATGGCATTTTAGCCAAAGGATTTTTATCAAAAACATAATTAATGTGCACAAATAAGGATTAGTTGTATTAACCATACATGGAAACAGAGTTTTATGGGGCCCCCAGAACTTGGGGCCCTAGGCAACTGCCTAGTATTGCCTAATGGTAAATACCCCCCTGGATACCCTGCTGGTGGATGTTCTTGACAGAAAGACAGAGTTGCTTAATCATATTCTGCTTAAGGTCCCATAAGATCTTGTCCGAGTCCTGGTTTAAAAGTAAATTAATTTTAAAAAGTGACCCAAAATTGACTGTCAATAAATGTTCTACAAAATTGATATATTCATTTGATTTCTTTGATTTGTACTGTCTGTTTAGATTTATGTGATATTTTTTGCACAAAAAATATAAGTGAATATTGTAACAGTTATGTTTTCAACTGTAAGCATTAAATTGATAAATGTTATTCGCATTTTTTTGGCTTTATCCTTTCCAACAACAAAAAAAAGGCGTCGCGCAGGGACCTCCCTTTCCTTATGAGCCGTCCCCACCAACTTTCAATACAAAGTTACACCCTTGTCTTAGACAACGCCTTAGCAGGTGCACTGAAAAAATTCGGCGCGCGCTCTGCGCGCGCATTATCTTCTAGGGGCTCAGCCACCCTTGTCTCTTAAACCTAGAGACGCCCCTGATTGTATGTCTCTTTCTGTTTTAAATAAAGGCTGTTTTTCTTAGGAAAATGGGTAATAGACCATAAATAAAGCATCCACAACAATTTTGTGGAATTGCAAATAATTCTCAAATGGAAATGTCTGACTCAAGTCCTCAATAGCTGCAACTTGTAAAGATATCCCTTTTACTGTTTATTTTGCAGACTGTTTTGTATTTGTAAAGAGATTATGTTGACTTTTTACAGAAAGGTGTTATCTGTAGACACAAAGGTCACAAACATTTGTTTTACACATCATTACTTAAGCTCATTAATCACTGCTTAATAAAAGATGAACAGATAGCCTGGAAACAAATAAAGTCATGTAGACAATTCTTTATTAACCAGTTAGGTTCTTTGTGTATGCAAAGCATGGGTTGTTTCAGTTAAAGGTATAAAGGACGATCTTATATTTCCCAGTGGATTATCTAAATAAGAGGTCCTCGTAATTATCATTCTGGTTATATGTTTACATAAGGCCATCGTACATACTTGTCCCCTTAGCTGTATTTTTTTTTTCTGTGCATGCGCACTTTCTGCATATATGTGTGGTGAGCTACGATTTCAGACAGTCATTGAAGCATACCTTTCTCACAGCGGTTATTTGAAAGTGGCCGAGGGTTGTAAGAGAAAAAGTGTCTATGAAGTCTATGAGAAGAAAAAACCTCAGAAGAGGCAGATATATCTCTGAATGCTTTGCGCAGAGAGCTCTCCTTGCAAAGCATTATTGGATTTGCTGTCACAGCGGCCCACTGTCGCCATAGGCTGCTGCTACCTGAGGGTGGCGACTAATAACAAAGATGGTGCAGGCACCGCGTGTCATGTTGGGGTCTAAGCGTCTAACCCACATGCAGAATCACTCTTCAGACAGGGAAAAGGTTAAATAGTTTATTCACAAAGTTTACAATAATTGTGCACAGGATCTTGGCTCGTCAGACTGGTCACGGGAGGGAAGCCACTAGAGGAGGACAGATCAGTTAGAGTGGATCCAGGAAACTTGCAGTTTGAAGATGACTTGGATTAATACCCGCTCAGAAGAGAATCAGATCAGCAGGGGGGGAACCTTGTGGATCCAGAGGCTAGTCGGCAGGCTGAAGGCTGAGGGCAGAGGCAGAGGCGGAGGCGGAGGCTGAGGCGGAGGGCAGACAGACAGGTTCCAGGCAGTGATTGTTTATCTCCAGGGTTAGACTGAATTCCAGATAAGTCGGGATCTGAGAGGCAGAAGAACACAGGGTCAGACTAGTTCACAGAAAGTCAGAGAAATGATCAGATTAGATGGCTCAGGTTTTGCTGGTACCATTACTGGCAAACACTCTGGCAGGGAAGTGTCAGCCTCCTCCTCCTTAAGTCCTCCTCCTCCTTAAGTATGCCTCATGATGAGCAGATGGAAAACAGGTGTGTCGAAGTCAGCTCACGCCCTCAGGAGGAAGATCTCAGGCGCCCTCTGGTGGAGAAAGTTAGACAAGCCTCCAGATCCCGACACTGCGCAGTCACCAATGGGGAAGTGATCAGCTGTCCGAATGGGAGTTCACTATAAAATCCCTGGCCTAAGTAGTGATTGATGGGTTTAGAGGTTAGGGCGGACGTTAGGACACAGTAAGCTTGTATGAACTTTGAGAACAGCAACTTTTAAACAGAGCGTGCATGAGGAGAAATGGGCTTGTGCACATTCTCTCACACTCATTTTTTTTTAAAGATTAGAGGGTGTGTCTTTCAAAAAAATCCAAAAAATCCTCAGGCTGGAAGACACAAATACTTACACCCTGCTTACTTTTTTCAACTATTCTTTTTAGCCAATTATTTAACATTTTGTTTTTTTGCGATTACTTTTTTAATAATCGAGAGTACAATTAAACATCATACCATTTAAATGTTATTGTTCATCTATCTTTATCTATTTATCTATTGATATTATTGTTATTTGGCTGTGGGGGCAAAACCTCTCATTAGATAAAACCTTAAATAGTACACAGAGGTTTTTTGAGATAGTGTTAATAACCTTTCTATATTTTTCGTATAAACGTTTCCTGCATCTGCCTTTTTTTATTTTTTTTTATTTTTTCCTTTTTGTAGACAACTACTAAACTAAGCAAGATAACTCTAGAGAAGATTATTAGAACAGATATTTTCCTCTTGTTCTACCTGAGAGACAATCCTAAAGTTTACAAAGTGCTACAAAAGCAGCTCTCTGCAATCGGCTGCACAGTACAGCTAGACTTTAAGAAAGAAGAGGCAGTAGTAAGGGGGGATATAGAGAAGTTGCTTCGAGGAGCTTTTGACGGTGCAGCAGAACACTGGGAACTCCAAGTGGATAAGATCTTCATTAATCTCATTGAGAGCTACAGCTGCCATCATGTGCTTGAGCAGAACTATGTCAAAAAGGTTCTGCAGGATCCCTTCTTTGTCACCGATGATGTAAAGGTTTACTCAGAGAGTGGTTATGCTGTGATGGTTGGGGAAGCTAAGGTGGTAAAGGAGAAAATTGCAGTTCTGGAGAAAAGCGTACCAGTACGTAAGGAGCAGCAAGTTGTGGAGAAGCATTTCAAACTTATTGAAGAGGATTTCAACAGAGAGATGAGTACATTTCACCCAGAGGTAATAATCCTCAGACGTGCTAACATGGTCATTTTAGAAGGGCCGGAAGAGAAAGTACAATCTGGATCAACTAAACTTTATGAACTGATAATGAAGATCCAAGAAAAGAAGGTGAATCTTCCTGCAGATTTAATTGCCTTTATGGCCACCAGCAATGCCATCACCAAATACCAAACTCAGTTTCAACAAAGTCTCAGAAGTCCAGTTTAATTTGAGGTGGGATCAGAGCTGCTTCTTTCTAGTTTGTCTTCAGATGCTCTAAATGAAGCTGAGACAACACTGCTGAGAGATCTAAATGTATCAAGTGTGAATCTTCAGGGTGCTGCAGCCAAACCTCCAGATCTAGACCAACTAAAAGAAATTATTATCAAAGCAAAGAATGAAGCAAACCGTGGTGAGCATAGAGTGGAAGTTAGCTTTGTCCCTGGATACAGTGGTACTCCATCAGTTAAAGTACAGCTGGTGGGCTACACTGAACAAGTGAACAAGCTTAAAGAGCTTCTCCATGACTATCAGGCGAATCAAGTGTCAGTTCAAGATGTCCTCAGCTTGCAGCGTCCTGAACTAGTTGATTGCTTTGATAAAATCTTACGAATACTTGGCATAAAGTCAAATTATGTCACACTCTCAGCCACCCATTTTCCAAACCCATGTGTACTGTTGTCTGGTCCTCGTTTTCGGGTTCAGGAAACCAAGCAAGCTCTGGCCAGCATAACATTTGACACATTAGTCCTGGATGGTCCTGGAGCTCTCCGATACTTCCAAGGAGAAGGGAAAGAAAGCAAGGAGCTGGTTGAAAGTTCATGTCAGGTGATTATTTGGGAACAAGGAGATAGCTCAACAGTCGTGCCAGCCAGACAACTAAGCCTCAGCAGCATCAGCAGTATCCCACAAAGACCCAACACGGTGGAACCGAATGCGTACAGTGATATCAATCTAGAAATCAAGATCTGCAGTTTAGAAGATGAGCAGGTTTGTTCTTTTTCAGTTCATTCTCATATTTTTCAGCAAGGCTATTGTCAGTTTTCTATTGACTATCTTTAAATGTTTCCACAGGTGAATGTTTTGGTCGTCCCCACATATAATAAAAACCTGTCTTCAACAAATATTGGGAAATCTTTGCTAAAGAAAGGTGGAGATACAGTCAAATCAAAGTTTGACATATTGGTATTTTTATCTGGCCTTGCCCCCGGCGATGTTCTCAAGGTTGATGCCAGCGCATCTCTGGGGTGCTCCAAAATATTCTGCATCGAGTGCCAATCTTGGGACAGAGCTGGAGGAATGAGTGAGAAGGTAAAATGATAAGTCAAGATTTATATTCTGTTATGGGAAATAAACAACTGTGCAGTTATTTCATAGCTTTTAAGAACACACAGAAAAGTTATAATTTAAATACCCAGCAAAATGTGTCATACCGATTTGTTGATTGAAAATCAAGGTTGGGTTATTTGCCATTTGTTTTAAAGGAGCACTAAATAATAATGCCATCTAATGTTTGAAAGTAGAACAAGAGACAAACAGGCTCTCATCCTTTTCCAAACCTTGAATACCAAATCCTGTACTGTGTTTTGGCAACACTTGGATTGTCTTAGGAACCGGGGAATAAACACAGGCTACAAACAGCACCAACGTAGTTCCTCCCCTTACCTTTAGTTCTGAAAGGAGAAAAAATTGACTAAGACATTGCCTATTGTGTCTCACAGATTGTTTATTGGGAATGTTACATCCATTCTAGGCAATTGACAAAGATGTATTTTAAATTGTCTTACTTAATGCTCCTTTAAAGGGATAGTTCGGGATTTTTGACATGAATCTGTATGGCATCCCCATCACCAGTGTCATGCAATCACACTGACTTACCCCTGGCAGCATCCTGTGAGCAGAGTTCTCGTCCAGCTTTGGTCAAGCCGAAAGTAGTCCGGCAGGTTTGCTAGACCCAGCGAAATAAAACGTTTCTCTTCCCAAAACATTATGTGTTCAAAAGAGTGATATTTTTGCATCCCAAAAACATTGTAGTGGAAAAAGTCACACGTCGTTATCACTTGGTCCTATTTTCTCTCTGTTCGTATCAGTGCGCGCCGTCATTCTGACAGCGAGCTCAACTTTTCCAGCTCAAGTCGCTGTTGTTTGTGATGCAGACAGCAGCTGCTGCAACTCCGACATCCTCAACATTTCTCAACATTTCAACATTTATTATATGTGGGGAGGACCAAAACATTCACCTGTGGAAACATTTAAAGATAGTCAATAGAAAACTGACAATAGCCTTGCTGAAAAATATGAGAATGAACTGAAAAAGAACAAACCTGCTCATCTTCTAATTCCGACAACATTTCTCAAGCGTCTTGAAAATCTGAAAGGTGAGAAGGCAGATTTTCAAAGCTTTTTGAATGTATGTAGCCGACGAACCCAGGAACAATCAGCTTTTAGTGAAACTGGGAACAGCTCACTGACTGATGTCTAGCCAGGTCAAACTACTCAGCGAGTGACGCGTGTAAAAATCTCCTTGGCATTAACCGTCATGCTGTGGGAACACCAGACCCAGTTCGACCCAGTAGTTTACATGACATCACTAAACACAATCTATGGATGTCAACACACCGTGCCAGTCGTGTCTGATATAACAAGGTGAAACAACACTATTTACATTTGATAAACATGGTGCAGCATGGGTAAGAGAGATTCGGACAGATAAAAGAGAAAAACAATAAAGCACATACTTTAATAATCCCAGAGGGAAATTACAGTTTCAGTACAAACCGTTCGTCACTAAGCCATGGCTTCCTTACATGAGTCAAATGCTGATTATTAGCCCTAAACCCATCTTTCAAAAACTTTTTATAATCTGCTAATTTCAAAAGGTAAAGAGGCTAAAAGGCTTCAATTAGACAAATTGCCCTGGCTTTAGCATTTTGCAGAATCTGTTCTTTTAGCTGTATAACTTCAAAGGCTGTATCCTTTAAGTTTTAATGGAGAGACTGAAAAGGTCTGAAACAAGCCATTGTAAATTGGACAGTCTAGCATTCATCAGCTGTTTTCACCCTAACCTCAGCATAACTTCTGACCTAGCAATCCTGACAGAGTGAGGCACAGAGCCTAAACTGTTCTCAATTATATTTTTGTCTGTCTAACCCTTGAGGAGGTCCACCAATTGATGTGGTAAAGACGGGGACACTATTATTTTTTTTTAGATATTCTCCTAACCTCCTGTAAGACATGAAAGACGAATAAACCAATAAATATTCAAAGCTTAATTTTAACCTTAGATTTAACCTTAGAACACTGTATTAAACCAAAATGAACCTGTAAAAATGTAGATGGAATGAATTATATCCATGTTTACCTTCCTCTCATTACTGGCAGTGAGTAAGACTTTGAAAACAATAGGCTAGAAGACAGGAGAATTGACAACTTGCTCTTCAAGTTTGGAAAGCTTATATCAATAATGAAAAATGAAGCCCCTATATTTAGAGACAGCTTTTTCTCTGTGCAACTATTAGATAACTTGGTAGTATTAGCTTTCCCTTCTTTGTTTTCTACAGTGGCAGAGGTATAAACACCCTGCAAATATATAAAGTACTGCAAACACAAACATTAGACTAGAAAACACAAAAAATGACTTATAAAAAAACACATGCAAAAGGGGAGTGTGCAGAGTGTAGCAAAGTGAAAATAAACTGCTAATGCAAAGCCTGCAGCCAGTACACAAATAATACTAACAAACAAAACACAAGCAAAATGTAAACTAGTGCACCTAAGAAAAGCTGCAATCTAGCTCTGGACAACAGAAGTTGTTCTGGGCTGGTTGGATATATTTACTGTCCCCAGGTGCCTCTTGTGGTGTGGATCTGCCTGGCTGCTTGCCCTAACCCTGGGTGTGGCCTGTCCCTGCAGGCGGTTCGGTGGAAGCCGGGGCATATCTAGCACATGGACTCAGTTGGCTAGCTTTCTGTGCTTGGCCTAGGGGGGCTGGCTAACCAGATTATTATTGCCTGTCCATAGTGTGTGGGCCTGGGAAGATTGTGATTGGCTGGGGGTGGGTGTGAGGCTAATGGGGAACTATGGTTGGTGCCGTGGAGGTAGGTGTACCTTCTAAGAGGGTGTCTTGGGTGGTGTTTGGGGCTAGACCTGGGCTACACTTGGGTGGCACGCCATTCCAACCTGCTTTTTTAAGAGCTCAAGCTGCTTTGCACCCCTCCTACACTGGGGGGCTTTGGATCTCCTCCTGAGTCTGGGGGCTTGGTTCCCCTAGACCAGGGAGAATAGTGTATGTATGAGGAGTGTAACAATACACACACACACACACACACACACACACACAAATACACTCACACACAGGAGCAATATCTGCTCCTGTGTGTCTCAATTGAGTGCTTGTATATGTCTGTATGAGTCTAGGGGTGTGATTGTGTCTTTGTCTACTTGTCAGGGTGAGTGCTTGGCTCCCCTCCCACCTAATGGAACATCTTAGGCCCCAAGCATGAGACTGTCTCCTCTTCCTTCTTAGGCTCCCAGCCACTGAGGGGTGCCTATGCCTGATGGTTCTCTAGGTTGGGATTTGTAAGAGCTTTAATGGGACTTTTACAGAAACGAGTAAAAGAATATACATATAAATAAGTCATTTAGTTTCACACTCCATACCAATTGATGGTATAAATACATCCTCTGACTGAAGATACTCTCTTGATGTTTAAGATTGTTTTTAAGGGGATGCTCACTGTTGTCCGTAATTTTCTTCACTTTATGATTTCTCCAGTGGTTCCAGAGGAGTTCCAGAGCCGGCCTTATTAATTAACTTGTTGAGCCTTTTTCAGTCATTAGCTCTGATACCATTATCGCAGCAGATGATGGCAGAAGAGATCCTCTTTCCAGAACAGACTTATATAAGATATCTAGCCTCTTGTTGTAAACATCATAGGACCTAAGCTTCCTTTGGAAGTACAAACTGCTCTATAAGCCAGACGTGTACAGAGTAAAAAGGAATTGTGAGAGAAATGGTGAAAGCTGTGGTGCTCCTGACTACTTAATAAGACAACTCAACCTTCACTGTAGTCTGTTTGTCAGATATTAAGGCGATTGTTGGTGCCTCCAGCTGAGTGTTCTGAAGTTTGTCAATATAATATGCTTTTCAGACTTCACTTTTCCTTTGTACTGGGACAACATGGCCAGCGATGAAGCCATGAAGGTGGTACCTCTGCAGCCTAATTCGGAAGAGTACAGAAGGGTGGAGGAAGGATTCAAAATGACTGCTAATAAAACTGTTATGAAGGTTGGTGGTTTTGATTGATAATTAATATCTACTATTAAAATCTCAGATTCTGTCTGTTGCGTACCTCAAACCGATTCAAATGGTATAGTAAGTTTAATAACCGCGGTTTGTAAGTTTTCTTTCTGGTTTTCCTATTAATAGTGACAAAATTTTATTTAAGTATCAAAAATGTGCCATTTCCTCATTCATTTTTTACACCTGTATATCATGCTCTGGCCCCTTACACCCCTTGGGTAACATATTTTATATATGTATAAAAATATTCTTCAGCGATTAAAAGTGTGAATTTCAACATATTAGCAAATACCCATTTTCCTCTTTGCATTTAAAAGTTTTAAGGTTGACAAGATTTTTTTTAAATTATATTTCTAAAATGCAATGTTTTTCATGACCCTTCAGAATTTCCAGGACGTTCTGACCATTTTTAGTTGTTGTTATTCACAGCTATCCTTTTAGAAAAAGTTCAAAGATACTTTTAAATGTTGATAATTTGACTTGTCAAATGTTTGTACGATTAGTTTCTATTAGTTCATTTGTTAAAATAATTACGATTCAGCAACAGTAATACTAAAAGTTTATGACATCCCATATTGGAATATAAAATAGTATAGATCGGAGCACATCTGCTCTAACTTTGATCAAAGTTAACCTCTGAACATCTACCTCATTTTGGGTAATCCTCTCCTATTTTGCATACCCAAATGGAAAAGCAAATAACTTAGGAACTGTTTGCCCAAATTACATGTCTAATATATTATTTAAAAGCTAACACCCTCTAGTTTCCTGATATATGCATTAAAATTGGGTGACTAGAACACAGACCAACCTGCATCAGTTCAAACATGATTCAAAGTGTGTTTTTTTATTCTCTGAAATGATAGGTCTTTTTTCAACAGCAGTAATAAAGATATTCTTGAGGAAAGGCAGGTTTTACTGTATTATATTTGTTCTACACCATGTCAACCACAAAGGCAGAAAACTTCAAACCTCTAGCTATAACAGTTCCAGAGCTGTGAGG